GAGAGGGCTGATATTGCTGAATCTCAGGTCAACAAGCTGAGAGCCAAGAGCCGTGATTCAGGATCCAAGGTAACAGTTAAAAACTTAAAAACTATTTTAGTCATAAATAAATCTGAGAAAAGCCTAAAAAATAGTCACGGGTCAACTATAAATCTGCATTTTACAGTGACTTCAGGAATAGCAAAGCAGGTATTTACCAATAGAACAATACATGTCAATTATTTGTTTAGAATTGAAACAGTTTTAAACTGGATGAGGTTAACATGCTTATTTTCTAACATAGGAAGTATCTAGGCATATGCATTTGATATGACATCCTAAAGTCTATTATATGAAATCTTATTTAGTATTGTTTATTTAGAGACTGTTTACATCATGACCCAAATGATACAGTTGTATACTCATCAAAGGGACCTAAACAATCTCTCACCATGTGAAGTTTCAAATTTCGAGAGGATCACGTGCCTATGATTGTTTACAGCTGTTCCAACTTTAGCTAATGACTGATTATCCTATCAGAAGATCCTTAACTCACTATAAATAACTGGACTGTTCTCATCTCATTATCTTTGTCTTGAACCAAACGGGCAAACGGGGGCGTCACGGTGGCCAGCGATTAGCGCTGTTGCCTCACAGCAAAAATGCCCCTGGTTTAATTCCTTTCCAAACCAGACGGCATTTCTGTGCGGAGTTTGCTCGTTCTCCCCGTGGTCGCGTGGGTTTTCCCCAGGTCCTCCGGTTTCCTCCCACAGTTCAAAAATAAGCAATCTAATCCAAAATATTTTAGCTAAACTCTGAGTACACCTTTCAGCATCCATATCTGACACTTAGCTACAACAAGCAAGAGGAGGAGTCATCGAGATCTACCTGAGCTCAAACTCCCCTCTCGCCTTGCAACGGGAGGGAGCCCAGGGCTCGAGGATCTTATAAGCTCAGGGCTCTCTCCCGGGACAGCATGCCAAACTAGCTTTATTATCAATCATCAGCTAAGTGTAAACTCTTGAATTCTCACACTTGAGAGGTTTTACAAAATTTTCAACTTTTACAAAATTTCTGAAGAACCTGAGAAAAAAGCAGCCATTGAAATCCACAGAAGAATTAAACAATACAATGGAAGTTGGCTGTTTTTTCCAGCATATTTCAAAATATTTTCCTTGTTGTTCAACAGAGGAAAGAAGCTCAGATATGTTTGAAAAAAGTGGAGGATGAGTAAATGATGACAGCCTTTTCATTTTTGGGTGAACTAACCCTTGAAATATTGCCTAGTAGATTTTACCCACCCTGATCTTTAACATTTGTCTTTTATTTTCTTCCTAACAGAAGGGGGCTGATGAAGAGTGAAAGCACTAGCCGGATCTCTCCAAACCTGGATTGCTGTGGTGCTTTCTTCTGTAGATTAATAGAATAAATCAAACGTGCAAATAAATACGTCATCCTCTTTTGTCTTTTTTCCTATTAACCATATAAACACTGCACTAGTCCAAAATGACCCTGCACAACAACAAACCTGTTGCCTAATATATGTGCCACAGAGTAGACTACAACATAAACAAAACAGAAAGCATTCTTCAGCTGTTCTCTAAACAGGGTCAACCACACAAAGAGCTGAGGAGTTTACCAATTCTGCTACTGCAAATGACATAATGCAGATTAATCTATAGTAAGCCACAGAGCATTACACTATGCACATTGTAAGATACATCACATACTCTGGGAACAAAAGGGTATTAAGTCATTACAATTTAACCTTTACATGCACATATCACATTGCCTCCATCAATACAGTTAAACTCAGTGTTAACAGAGCAGTTACATGTAAGGAAAATTCAAATCAGTATATTAATAATGGCCACAGCCATATCACCCTGCAGCCCAAGACCAGTTACTCACTAAGCAGGGCTGAGCCTGGTCAGTAACTGGATGGGAGACCACATGGGAAGACTAGGTTGTTGTTGAAAGTGGTGTAAGAGAGGCAAGCAGGGGGCGCTCAACCTGTGGTCTGTGTGAGTCCTAATGCCCCGTTAAAAGTGAAGGGGACACTATACACTGTCAGTGGGCGCCGTCTTTCAGTTGAGATGTTAAACCAAGGTCCTGACTCTCTGTGGTCATGAAAAATCCCATGGCACTTCTAGTAAAGAGCAGGGGTGCAACCCCGGTGTCCTGACCAAAGTCCCTCAATCAGCCCTTACAATCATGGCCTCCCAATCATCCCTATCCACCGAATTGACAGCATCACTGTCTCTTCACTCCACCAATAGCTGGTGTGTGGTGAGCGCACTAGCGCTGTTGTCCTGTGGCTGCCGTCGCATCATTCAAGTGGATGCTGCAAACTGGTGATGGTGTGGAGAGAACAATCTCATGATTGTGAAGCGCTTTGGGTGTACGGCCATACATAATAAATGCGCTATATAAATACACATTACATTACATTATAAATTATGATGGCAGAATGCAGTTTTCTAAACCTGAAGCAACCTCCACAATGCTGTGAAATTAAGAGATGTTATAGCCACTCATCACCAGTTGAAAGCGCCAGTACCACTGAATGTCACATGAATCATGATGACGCAATTATAAAAAAGACTCCTTAGGTCGAAAACTGTTTTTGGCATCAAACAATAAAAGTGGTAAATTAATCCTGATTCCCCACAGGATGAATACTGATACATGCCTCATAAATGAAACATCCGGATTTAAATAAGACACCCATTAAAAAACCATTCAGCATAATTAAAGTGTGTAAAACAAAATGGAATATATATATATATATATATATATATATATATATATATATATATATACACACAGTTGAAGTCAGAATTATTAGCACCCCTGTTTATTTTTTTCTCCCAATTTCTGTTTAACAAAGAGCAGATTTCTTCAACACATTTCTAAACATAATAGTTTTATTAACTCATTTTTAATAACTGATTTATTTCATCTTTGTCATGATGACAGCGTAATATTACACTGGCTATTTTTCAAGACACTTCTATACAGCTTAAAGTGACATTTAAAGGCTTAACTAGCGTTATTAGGTTAACTAGGCAGGTTAGGGAAATCAGGCAAGTTAATGTATAATGATGGTTTGTTCTGTGGACGATCAAAAAGTATATATATCTTATAGGGGCTAATCATTTTGACCTTAAAATATTAAATAAAAACTATTTTAATTAAATATTAATTTTAAAAAAATCAAAAACTGCCGAAATAAAACAAATAAGACTTTCTCCAGAGGAAAAACTATTATGAGACATACTGTGAAAATTTCCTTGCTCTGTTAAACATCCTTTGGGAAATATTTAAAAAAGAAAAAAAAAATCAAAGGGGGCTAATAATTCTGACTTTAACTGTGTGTGTGCGTGTGTGAGTGTGTATATTTGTACACTGACACTATTCTTCAAGCCGCTACTTTCAGTCACCACCTCTGGAGAGCGCCACCACCATGGTCACCACCAATGTCAAAAATCTCTATTTTGAACTGTAATTTTAGTCATTTGTCAGCTAATGCAGTGGTTTTACTCCTGTAGTGCTCTGCACATTTTACATTTCACCTTTATTTAACAGCTGAGCTCAGCTTTATATCCTCAGCCACTGCTATAAATATGTGCAAGATGTTATAGCACTGTTGGGTTAGTTACTTCAAAAAGTATTATTACTTTTTTATTATTATTATTACATAATTACACTATCTGAAAGGTAATTTAATTACTCAATAAGTGATTACTCAGTGCTGCTGTAAATCCCTATAAATCACAACACAAACAACAGAAATGTAACTCTTTCAATTATTTTAATTTGAGCTAAATATGGCCTTCTAGCCTTTTTTAACTAAGCAATTTCAAAAATAAACATAACATTCTTTAATTGACCAAAAGGTAAACATAATGTCTCAAAATATGAAACTTTTCAATGCATCTACACCATATTTTACACATACCCAATATCATTGACTAAATTATCGCCTATGAATTCTGAAAAATAAATATGATATGCAAAATATCTGAATAACAAAATAAATAAATGAATAAATCCTTTGCTATTTTGAGTTAACTTGGACAGAAATGCTACAGGTACATTAAAATGAACAGTTATACCATACTTTACTTTTCAGTGGTAACTAACTCATTACAGCCAACAATGTGCTACTGTACATATTACAGTACATAAATATGAGTGACTTACAAAATGTGCAGAGCAGGATTGAAACCCGCTGAGCTGATGACTTTGAAAGTACGATAAAATATGAGCGCTGTTACAGTCAGTCATGACCACTTGAGGGCGCCAGCACCACTGACTGTCAAAGCTCTGCTGTCACTAAATGTCAAACCTTTCTTCACACTTATGTCAGGAAAATTGTAAGGAAGTGAAAATCATTTAAAATCCATTTTTTATCATCATCTATTTTTTTCAAAACCAGTCTTAAGTTGCAAGAGTATATTTTTTGGCATTAGACAAAAATTACATTGAATGGGTCAAAATGATTTATTTTACTTTTATGTCAAAAAATCTTTAGAATATTAAGTAAAGATCATGTTACATGAAGATATTTTGTAAATAGTTGTATCTGACCCAAATATTTTCCAATCCTTGGAAAGCTTATTTAGTTGGAGGATGTATACATCTGTTTAAAAAATTGACACTCATGACTGGTTTTCAGCTTTATGGGTCACAAATTTAAATATTAATTATTTTATATATTTTTTTAATATTTTAATATTTTACTAATTTTACAAACATATGTCACACTCATTGATGACGGATAATGGGTGAAGCAGTGGCGCAGTAGGTAGTGCTGTCGCCTCACAGTAAGAAGGTCGCTGGTTCAAGCTTCGCCTGGGTCAGTTGGTGTTACTGTGTGTTTTGCATGTTCTCCCTGAGTTCGCGTGGGTTTCCTCCGGGTGCTCCGGTTTCCCCCAAAGTCCAAAGACATGCGGTACAGGTGAATTGGGAAGGATAAATTGTCTGTAGTATATGAGTGTGTGCGTGGATGTTTCCCAGAGATGGGTTGCGGCCGGAAGGGCATCTCCTGCGTAAAAATGTGTGGGATAAGTTGGTGGTTCATTCCGCTGTGGCAACGCCGGATTAATAAAGGGACTAAGCCGACAAGAAAATGAATGAATGACGGATAATTATTTCAAACATACTTTGATATTTCATGAATTATGGATGTAGACTTTTTACTTGATTTTAATCATCACCTGTCTAAACATCACTTTTGTAAATTGATGCCAAAACCAAAATGTCTTTTATATATATATATATATAGAGCACAAACAAATCACATTCCCGTTTTTGATGCAATTATTCAATAATTTAGACTTTCAACAGGACAAACACATTTTCCTAACCCTAACCCAAATTACAGAAGGACAACCGGTATCTTAACCCTAAAGTTCTAAACATAGTCTTTTATTTCTTATATATTACAATATGTATTTTTTGTTTTGATTTTAGTGTGAACCCAGACATGTCTTTTCAAAATCAATAATGTCAAAGATGTTTTCAAAATCAATGACAACTTTTTACTTCATCAAATTATTTAATTCAGTATTAAAGACACATGACAGTGTTTGCCTAATCATGTTTCCTGCCAATTAAAATGCAGTGCAAGTAAAACTCAAAGAGAAAAAGCATTGATTTACCTTCATCTCTGCAGTGTGTGTTACTGTAGGTCTCCTGCAGGATCACAGTGTTTGTGTGGGGCAGTGAAAACACACTGAGGGGAACAGAAACATTTGCACAGCAAGGGTCAAAAGTCAAGACAATTTGCATAACTGTAGAAGATGTTTTTGTGAAGAACAAAATAGTTTATCTATAAATAACATACTAAAATAATAATTTAAAATGCAACTATGCTGGCTTAGGTTCACTAAATTAAATGAACAAATATTTTTGACATTTTAACTATGTGTTACCAAATCCTAAAATTAAAAAAAACTTCCTGTAGATTAATAAATGCTTTAAAAATGTTAAAACTTAAACTGTTAATTTTAACTAATGTGGTTATTTATGATTAACAAAATGAAAAAAAGACACTGTAAAATGTGACCAACGGAACAATTTTATGTGAATTTAAGTTGAGTAAAAACAAAAATAAAAATTAAACATTTTAGCCCTCCAGCAATTTTTTTTCTCTTTCAAATATTTACAAATTGTTGTTTAATGGATAGATTTTTTTAACATAATAATTTTAATAATTAATTTCTTTTGCAACATAATAGTACTCAGCTTAAAGTGTCATTTAAATACTTATCTAGGTTAATTAGACAAGTCATTGGACAACAGTGGTTTGTTCTGTAGATAGATAGGTAGACAGACAGTTAAACAGATAGACAGACAGATGATTGATAGACAGACAGATGATTGATAGATAAATAGATGGATGGATGGATGGATGGATGGATGGATAGATGGATCAGAGAGGTAGATAGATAGATAGATAGATAGATAGATAGATAGATAGATAGATAGATAGATAGATAGATAGATAGATAGATAGATAGATAGATAGATAGATAGATAGATAGATAGAAAGAACAATAGACAGAACGATAGACAGAACGATAAAACGATAAATAGATAGACAGACAGACAGACAGACAGACAGACAGACAGACAGACAGACAGACAGACAGACAGACAGACAGACAGACAGACAGATAGATAGATAGATAGATAGATAGATAGATAGATAGATAGATAGATAGATAGATAGATAGATAGATAGACAGAACGATAAACAGAACGATAAAATGAGACAGACAGACAGACAGATAGATAGATACATAGAACAATAGATAGATAGATAGATAGATAGATAGATAGATAGATAGATAGATAGATAGATAGAGTACGGTTTTATAGTGCCATTATTAATACCTGTGCTCTCTGCCTCCATCACACAGCTGGTCCAAGCAAGGATACCAAAGAAATGACAAGTAACTCAATCAAAGGAGCAAAAGCATCATGGGATACCCAGTTGGACACTTGTCAAAGTAAATCAAGCAAACAGACCCCCCCCAAGTCTCCATTAATAGCCTGCTCGATGGTGGTGATGCACAATGGGTCAAGTCATTGACCTTTTGGTGAGCTGAGGGCTCAAACAGCTGAGAATGAAGCGCCTGCGTCTCAGGGAAGCGTGCGGATCGGAATGTTCCACCTCGTCATTGCAAGAGATGGAGCTGGCAGCTGAAGGAAAAGAGTCAGGATGTTGAAGCTCTCCTGTTAATCCAGAGTAAAGGCTTTAATTAGGCACTCATGCTAACCACTTACATCATCGAAACAACAAACTCTGCACTTTTACACATTTTTACACTCAAACCCTCCAGCAAATGTTCGCTTGATCCAGCCATCGGAGATGCTCACCAGAAATGATCTCTGAACCACAGGGGATGTAGTCTAAGTGGCTTTATGATGTTATGATCTTCATGACCTGTTAATAGGAAAAACAAACTGGCAGATTGAATGTACTGTGTACAGCCCCAGGCATACAAATATTTATTGATTAGTAGGATATATGACTAGCATGTTTTTATAAGCGGAAAATGGCACTTTATGCAGGTTGAGATCTTAATTTTAAGGCTAAATGATTACTTGAATAAAATATGGCTTAGTCAGATTATTAGACTGCAATATTATCAAATTCATGTATGTGCAACATGCTTTACAGTAAAGCATTTTGCTCTGACACATGCAAATCACTATCCATCTGAGTTTGTATTAGTTTTAGATTAATTTTATAGTTGTGGTAAATAGAGCTGCAACAACGAATCGAATAAATCGATTCAAATCAATTATTATTAAAAGTGTTGGCGACAAATTTCATAATCGATTCGTTGTGTCACGCAACACAGGGACGTTTGATTATTTAAAAAACACTTTAGTTCAGCATGGATTGGAGTGAACACGGTCTCTCTCATGCGCACTGATACAGAGTTCGGCACCTCATAGACAGGGATGAGGATAAAGAGAGTTTAACAGCAGGGTAAATCACAACAGAATCCTACTTTTATTTTGTTTTGGACAGTAAAGTCCCTGGTGCTGATGTTTTACTCATTATCCAGCTTGACAAGCATGACAAGTTAACGTTAGCTCGTTTACCTTTAGAGCAGCAACTGAGAAAATCAAACTGAGCTTTGGCACGGTGTCTGTGCGCTGAGTCAGAGAGAGCTGGCGCTGAGCAGAGCTCTCAGTAAGGGACCGTCGGAAAAGTACTTTTTTTTCAGGTTTTTTTTTTTTCGAAAACAAAACCAACTTAACCCCACTGAGAAAGACGTGTCATATTATCACAATTATGCAGCGTTTTAACCACCCAATGCCTAATTTATGTGTTAGACATGTAAATATACACACGTACTAGTAAAACAAATCATTTAGTTTGTAAAACACACAAGGAAGTCTAACAATACATTCAAATATAATTTGCTAATGTGTTTTATTCATATCAGATACACATCAGGGCTCGAAATTGCGACCATTTTGGTCGCATATGCGCCCGAAAATTAATCTATGCGACCTCATAATATATTTGGGCGCATTAGTGCGACTGCAGATAATGGTTGTAGTGCGACCTGTTTTGATTATTTTTGTAAAAACGTGCTGAATCGCTCTTCCCTGCCGCTATATTGGTTCATATTAGCTGTCAATCACTCAAGGTATTCCGCTGTCAGATGACAGGGAAGGAGCTTTTATGACCACGGGAAATGCAAACAGCTGAAGAGTAAAAACTTAAAGCACACAGGTTTGCAAACCCCACCTAAAGTTGAGGTGCAGATGAGAGCGATCATGACATGTCACGTGGTGAATAATGATCCACCAGCTGAGATCAATCGAGTACGCGCTTCTTGGAGAAGGCGCCCGAATCTCCATGCATTGCATTCACTGCGTGTTCAGCGCAAATGTCCGCTAAAAGTCAAATCTAATACTGTATCATCGCCAAAGAGGCTTGCCTTTACTAAGTTTACACTGAAACTGCGGCTCATAACAAAGACCGGTATTGCGCCGATGGTTAGCGCAAGAATCCTGCTCTGCCTGCTCATAAATTGGGTCGGCTGACTCGCCTGCTTTTCCACAAACACAGAAAAATTAAAATCAGCTCAGACTGAACCTTTAAATTGACACAAACTGAAACCAAAACTTTTAAAGAGTGATAGAAGTGAGACTTTACTTACTTTCTTTTGTCTATTCTTTTTTGATTTGTATATTATTTTTTTATTTATTTACTGATGACTGCTTTGCAGCTTTAATCATTGAATTGAATGATTTATTATAATCTTTTGTTTGTTTTGTAGCAGAAATATTATTTATTAAATTGACATCATTAATATTCTATCGCCTAATTATTAGACATTCATTTTGGAATTATTGCACACAAATATCAATGTCTTCGCAGCATTAGTTAGATAGTTGTTTCTGGTTTTTGTCAGTCCTATTAATGTTGTTTTAAAATACAACAAATCCCTTAAAAAACAATTTGCAGCGGTGCTCATTCATTTTTGGTGGGTGCTCCTAAATTTTTTCTGGTGCTCCTAAAATTTTTTTGGTGCTTCTAAATATTTGTAGTTGGGAGCACCGGTGCTACCAAGTAAAAAAGTTAATTTCGAGCCCTGCACATTGTGAAAGTAACTATAAAGTTGAATCTACTCTTCTCTAAGTTCACCAGCCACTTACTTGCATGCATTTTGGGAGTAACTGGTGAATTTACGTGCTGAATCCTGCATGTTCTGCTTTTTATGAATGAGGCAAACGTGCGGCCGCAAGTAAACATGGCGACGCCCATCTCACGCTATAGATCATGATCACTTGCACGCTTATGTGCAATTAAGATATATCTCATTAAGATTATTTTTCTTACCCAATTCACAAATAATTTAACTTGTTTTAAGCAAGCAATCACTTAATTTTGAGAAAACAAGACATTTCTTTGTGCATTTCATTTCTTGTGCTATTTCATGTGTCTAGTATGTGTCTTAATTTAAAAATATTTAGATATTTGGACTGAAAATAGGACAAAACTACTTAGTTTTTAAATTTTATATTATTATATATTACAACAGTTCTGTGATGAGCTTTTTTAAATAAACGGTTGGAAATGAATGCTTTCCTTTTTTATATCAGATTCATCGATTAATCGAAAAAAATAAATCAACAAATTAATTGATTATTAAACAAATGGTTAGTTGCAGCCCTAGTGGTATAAAGTTATTATTGTAGGATCTAAAATAAAAACTCAAGCTTTTATTTTACAGTGCAATTTTAAAGTAGTATTGTTTTTGTTTTTATTTAGTAGTACTGTAATAGTAAGAATGTTTTATTATTATAATAAATTTGTATTTTATTGTCATAATATAAATCAATAAATGTTGATTTGTGCAGCCTTTAAAAAAGTAGAGAAAACCTAGATTTTTTAGAATCACATTTTTAATAAAACACTTAATATTTTTGCAGTTTTTATTCAACTTTAATCTTTAAATATTTGTATTATGTCTAGTACTTTTTTAAATAAACATAAATGTGTTTGTCTACACATTTATAAGTTTTGTGTGTCACTATATTCTTAATCTATGATATACTAAAACCTTCGGTACTGCTTTAAAACATTGATCCATTAGTTAATTTATTAACTAACATGAACTAAAAATGAACAATATCTACGAATGCATTATTAAAATAAAAGTCTTGCTTGTTTGACAATAAGTAATGCAATGTGAGCTAACAACTTTATTTTCATCCACTAACAAAGATGAATACTGTAATAAACGTATTATCAATTGTTTATAAATATATTAACTAATAAAGTGTTACCAATTTGTAATCTTAAATTTTCTTACTGAAAAGTGAGAACATTTAAACTTTTAAACCCATAGTGGGAGTGCAGTTAAAAAAAAAAATCAGTAATATTAAAAAAACATATATTAACAATAATGATAATAATAATAATAATAACAACAACAACAATAATGATAATATTAATAAAATAAAACTGTTTTAGAGCAGCACAACGCTGTGACCTTCAAAGCCAAGAGTGACAACACAGTCCAGCAGAAGCATTCCATGAATGTGCCATTCTATTATCCTGACAACTGTCTAAAACAACAGAAGCGCCTACAATTCATAAGAATGTCTTCTAACAGCATTACTTTGATACTAATATTGTTAAAAGGATCAAGTTGATCCTAATCCTCATGTTAAAAGATCCCAAGGTCCTTAATAAAGATGAGCCACTTTCAACAATTCACACCAAAGCTTTTGCAGTTCTGAGAACAGCTGCTGCAGAGACCCTGCCCACAGTTGTCTGCGACCCTCAGCGGTGACTGTAAAGAAGCTGAGAAAAATCTAGTACGGTTATCTTTGTCCTCAAGGATAGAGGAAAAACAATGGGATGTCAACAAGAAGAGCAAGAGGTTGAGGTCCAGCGGTACAAGCCGTGACAATTGAGACTTGTTTCACAGCACAAAAGACCAGCTGTCGGTTGTCCATCGCCTTCATCTATAGACAGACCTGAAATATTTGTCACATTTTCTTTTAGTCCTCCTCTTTACTTAGCTAATATGACTGTCTCAATCAATGTGTGCAAAAGTTGAACCTCAAATCTCACAGATGTGTGCAGACTTTACTTTGACAAAGGAGAGATTATTCTCACATTCTCACATTATCTGGCCGTGGTACTTTAGATAAATGGAACTGATTAATGAACCCTTTCTAAAGTCAAATTTAAGCACTTTTCAAGCACTTTCCAGGTGCATTTTCAAACTTTTCCAGCACGTTACAAGAGAGAAATTTCATATTTACATGCATATAGATACATCATTACATGCTGTTTGTTAATCTGCAGTATACTGAAGTCTTCCAAAGGACATCTTTGATAGCACTTTTGCACAGCATTGAATTACTGTCATTGAGCCTATTAAATGTAATTTATTTTATACAGTTGAAGTCAGAATTATTAGCCTAATTGAATAATTAGCGAGTTTTAATAACTCATTTCTAATGAATGATTTATTTTATCTTTGCCATGATGACAGCACTTCAGATATTCTTCAAGACACTTCTATACAGCTTAAAGTGACATTTAAAGGCTTAACTAATTGAGGTAACTAGGCAGGTTAGGGTAATTAGGCAAGTTATTGTATAATGATGGTTTGTTCTGTAGACGATCGGAAAAAATGTAGCTTAAAGAGGCTAATAATTTAGTCCTTAAAATAGTGTTAAAAAATGAATAACTGCTTTTATTCTAGCCAAAATAAA